CTCACTCACTCACTCACACACACACACACACACACACACACACACACACACTCACTCACTGACTCACACACACACACTCACTCACTCTCACACACACACACAAACACACACACTCACACACTCACACACACACACACTGACTCTTAAAAGGTTTCAGAGAACCATTCTATAAATTATGTATAAATAACGGTTGTGTGTTAACGTTTTGAGAAGATTATCAAACACCAAATAACTCTGTTAATGCTACAGGAAGAATGCTTCTTCAGAATCCCGAGAGAACCTTCCCAAAGTTCTGAGAACGTTCATTTTTAGCTGCTAAACGTTTATCCATACATGTTGCATATTTGATAGACGCCTGTATAAATGCTCATATAAACAAGAAGAAAAAGCACTCAGTGAATGAAGTCGTTCTGTCTGAGATGTCTATGTCCTGCAGGTGAATGACGTGCACAGGTAAGCCCATTAAAGAGCGCGATGATTGACAGCTGTCACTCACAGAGGATTATATCTGCAGGATCTCAGCTCAGCTCAAGAACACAGGAAACAGAATTCATTCATAAATCAAAAACAGGAGACAGATGAAAGAAACAATAGAGGCGGACAACCCATTACAGTAAAGCAGAGGAACAGAGAGAGTTTAACGCCGCGGGAACGCTCCGTTATCATCAACAAAACCTGAAAAACTACACGTCTGCATTCTGAATGTGTGTAGATATTGATGATGAGGATGAAGATGATGAAGATGAAGAACACACTGACCTGAGGCGAGCAGCAGCAGCAGCAGATGAGCCCGTTCCACACACATGAGTCCGATCTCTCACACACTCTCTCACACACACACACACACACACACACACATGAACGCGCTCCCGGGTCTCAGGAAACACACCCCTGGCGCTGTGTTCACTCACATGTGTGTATTGCATTAACATCAGATAAAAGTGATAAAAAACACTTTAGCATTTTTTTCAACAATGCATGTCACGTGCTTTGATATTCTGCATTTACATGTTCCTGTGTAAAAACTGTTTTACTGCACTACACATGTTGAGGCATTAATGCCTTTCAAAAAATCTCTCTCTAGCGTTATGAGGACGTTAGTTTATGATTCTGATCCAGAATAATAACGTGCAGTTATAAATGCAGTGTTATGACAGCGTAGCAGGAGACATGTCTGTAAATGAGTGATTTATTTGGACTTTTCTGACTGCTGAAGTTTCAGAGTAAAGTCTCTAAACTGTTCTTCAACACACGGTGGCGCTGCAGACCCACATTCACATCCCAGGCCAAAAAAGTGCAGTAAAATACACGTTATTCAGTACACTTCCATACTGTACTTAAAGTGCTTGATTTTCACGCACTACTTTTGTACTTAATATACCAAAAATGATTCTTTAGTACTTCTAGAGATAAGATCATCTAAGTGCTCAACTCTGCTATTTCGGGACACCATGAATATGAACTAAAATGTGCTTTTAACATATTTTCTCTGTAAAAAAGTTTTCACTTGCAGTACAGTTGAAACCGTCTTTCATACACTTTTAAATATACTCATCATGCATAGAAAATACACTGATTAATTATTCAAAATATAAGATTAATATATAATGAATATATACAAAATGCATTTATAATGTATTGCCCACATATCTTTATAGACTAAAAAATAAATTTCAAATGTATTGTAATTATGTTAACATTCCCTTTAGATGATATACTTAACTACATGTTTATGGCGTCTTTAAATAGTACAATCAAGTACACTATGTCATTGGTAGCACATTAAAAATATAGCACTTCAAGTACTTTATGCTGAAATACTGTTAAATTGTGAATTTTGTTACACATCTAAACACATACGAAAGAATATATGCTATCAGTGCGTTTATAAAGTAGTCTAAGCTCAGTAACCTATATGTGTCACGGCTAGTGTTATTAAACACACACGAAGATGACAATGAAGATAATTTAATCTTCTTAATCTAGTCTTTAATAAATCCACAGAAGGTAAAAAGGCTTATAACAGAGACGAGACCCGCACAGACAGGAGCTTAAATACACAGACCACACCAGGATCATTAACAAGACACACCTGAACCTAATGAGCTCAAATCAGAAACCATGGCAACTAACTCCACAGTGCTGTTTACTATACTTTTGCAATTGCACTGAAGTAGAAATATACTTTTAATTAGTGTGTTTATAGTGTATAACTTTTACAATTTAATTTAGCACAAAAATAAGAATGTACTACAAATGTATTTCCTGGTATTTAAGCATTTTTGTAGTGCATTTAAGTATACTTTATAGAGAGAGAGAGAGATACTGTGTTACTGTACTGGCCTAGATGTGTTGCTATAGAAGTAAACTTGACTGATTGCACAGACGCTATTGGAGGAGAGCTGATGACATCACTGAATCATCAATTAACTGATTTAGCTGGAAAATTACTCTTTATTATTGTCCTCTTGCATTATTGACATGCTATCCTCCTGTGTAACACTGTAAAGCTGCTTTGACACGATCAGTATTGAATAAAGCGCTATAGAAATAAAGATCAAGTGTCTGTATGTGAGTTTCTCGAATGCTGCTGGATCTTCTCATTGACTTCTCTTTATTTATTCTTTTTAATGCTGTATCTGTCTAATGAATGACATTATAAATGTAGTACTCAAATGCCTTTTGTGATCATAGTAGAAATAAAATTAAATTCTATTATCTCACAGAAATATTCATATGTGACCCTGGAGAACAAAACCAGTCATAAGGGTCAATTTTGGGAAATTGAGATTTTTGCATCATCTGAAAGCTGAATAAATAATCTTTCCATTGATGTATGGTTTGTTAGGATAGGACAATATTTGGCTGAGATACAACTATTTGAAAATCTGGAATCTGAGGGTGCAAAAAAATCTAAATATTGAGAAAATCATCTTTAAAGTTGTTCAAATTAAGTTCTTAGCAATGCATATTACTAATCAAACATTAAGTTTTGATATATTTACGGTAGGAAACTTACAAAATATCTTCATAGAACATGATCTTTACTTAATATCCTAATGATTTTTGGCATAAAAGAGAAATGTATAATTTTGACCCATACAATGTATTGTTGACTATTGCTACAAATATACCCCAGCGACTTAACACTGCTTTTGTGCTGCAGAGTCACACGTCGTAAACAATCATGAGAACAGGATTTAATGGTCTCAATGATGCAAAAGGCAACTGATCTTTTCCATATATAGTATATTCAGATATATGAGTTTATGAAGTTATAGAGGAGCCTGAAGTGCTTCTCAGAGAAATGGAGCAGATCTGCAGATAAACCTGAGCAGAGCGAGAGAACGAGGGCAATTGAAAGATGTTTGAGGTTTCCTCTTCCTGTAGAGAAACTCAGAGACACAGAGACGCTGCGTGTGAGATCAGTTAACACTCACTTCAGGACGTTAAACCATCAGGAACCATGCTTCTCCTGAGCGTGATGTTTGTGCTGCTCGCCACGGCTGTGATGAATCTAGCTCAGGGTCAAGGTGAGATCACTTCACACCACGTGCATTCATTATCTGAGCTGATGATAGAGCTTGATGTGTAGCGATTCTAACATGTTGTTTGGTCTTTTCATTTTGTTTTTGTCAAAGCCATAAGAGAGATCAAAGAAGACCGTGTCATTTTGGACTGCGATGGAGGTGAAGATGGTAAAGTAATGTGGTGGAAGGAGAGCAGCGAAGATAAAACCCAAAAGAATTCGACCTTTGAAGCTAAAGCTGAACAGGGAACAGTTGAAGGATTCTTCGCCTGTGAATATTCAAAGACAGATACAGATACAGGTACAAAAGAAGTCATAAAGCACAAGTTCTACCTCAAAATAAAAGGTGAGGATACTTCACTGTTTTTCACTCAGAATGTGCATCATAATAATACTAATACTAATAATGCTCACACTCGTTCTGTGTGTCAGTGTGTGAGAACTGCTATGAGTTGAGCGGTTTGGCTGCGTGGGGCATCATGCTCGGAGATGTACTGATCACAGGAGGACTTATGCTCATCATCTGCATCTGTGCTGCCAGAAACAGCCACGGAAGACAGAAGAAAGGTGCAGAAAATATATGACATGATCTCAGACACAAACCTGCAGAAATCAGTCAACCTACAGGCCATTTACACAACACTGATCAGCTTAAGTTCAACACCTATATAATACAGAACTGAACAACGCTGATATATTTCTACAGTAATACCATACACTGACATATATTACAAATCTATACATATTACCATAATATAATACTACAGTGAATATATATTACAAATCAACATCTATACAGTGTTCATTTCAGTATCATTTATACAAAAGGGGGGAAATGTTGCACAAGAAGTGTGAAGCATTTATACTTTACATTGTTTTGATGTAAATGCTGCATGAATTGTGTTCTAGTGAGTGTAAAATACAATTAAACATTAAACATTATCATGGTTTATTTTGTTTTAATTCACAGCATCAAATCCCCGACCAATAAACCCTCCTCGACCTCCAAACCCTGACTACGCGGTACGTGTGACAAAACAAATCAAAGCAGAACTTCTTATGTTACACTGAATGTTTTATTAATCAGTCTTCCGTTGTTAATCAGCACAGAATGAGATCTAAGTTAAGGTGCGCTGTGATTGGTCAGTAATCCAGTGTTGCTATAGTAACAGCTGTTCACTGCACTGCTCTCACAGAAACCAACTACTAACCTAGTTTACACCACTAGATGTACTAGTGAACGATCAGAGCAGTGAATCGTGTTTTGAGCTGCTGTTGATTCTCTATTCCACACTGAAGCTCAAGCGCCTTGTTGATTAATTAAACTGATGTCACTGATTTTCTCGGTGATTAACTGTAAACTTTCTGGTGTTTGTGTTGTTTTCTCAGGCTCTGGATCCAAAGATGCGCAGCAGCAATGCTTTGTACGCAGGCCTCAATAAATAGATGCTGTTCAGACGTCCGGATTACTGTAAATCAGACTCTGGTGATTCATAGTGTTTCTTAAACGTTTGTTCCACTGTACAGGTTCATATATTAGTGATGCTGATGTGAGTTTTGTGAGACTGACTCACGGATCAGTGTTTTGTTTTATACGGTAACTGAGTGTGTGTGTGTGTGTGTGTGTGTGTGTGTGTGTGTGTGTGAGAGTGTGTGTGTGTGAGTGTGTGTGTGGAAAGTTCAGCTCACGAAACATCGGAAACTCATGATGGAAACAGCATCTGTGCTTTCTGCTGAGAAGATTGTGTCATTTCACTCTTTTGTGTTCAGAATCGTGTTTTTTTTCACCGTTCAAGAGAAATTTTCATGTTCTGATGTACAAGTGTCTCATTTTACAAGAATGATTCATTTTAGACTTAGAAAATTATTGGTAACACGTTACAATACGGGTGGACAAATATGCATTAATTCATGCTTAACTAATGCACAGATAATCACGTGTTAATGTATAACTCATGATTATCTGTGCATTAGTTAAGCATGAATTATTGCATATTAGTGCCACCGTACTGTAAAGTGTTACCAAATTATTTAAATCAACAGCTGTATGAACCAAATCAAGGTTTTAATGATGCTACTGCTGCACTGAGAAAATAAACATGAAAAATAAAGTAGATTTTGTGAAAGTTGAGTGTTGATTTGTGCTTTGAAAAGTTTATAAAATTAATACATTCACACACTCACACTCACACACACACACACACACACACACACACACACACACACACACACACACACACACACACACAGTGCTCTGCATACGCACAGGACAATTGTGTGTATATACCTGTGTGTTTGTTTGTGTGTATTTGTGGAGAGAATCCAACAGTGCTTTTTACTTTTCAACAATACTTTTTGCAAAATGGCTGCCATCCCAGAGACTTATCACAAGATGGCTGCCAGCCCAGGGACTACCCACGAAATGGCTTCCGTTCCAGAGTCTCGTCCCGTCTCAGCTGATCTTCCAGAGCCTGCCACGCCAGAGCCTCCGGCTTTCCGTCCTTTGTCAAGTCACAGACTTCAGCCATCACGGATGCCACTCCAGTGTTCCAGAGCATCGTGAATGTTGCATTTGAAGACACAAAGTCAGTCTCAAGGCTTTCGAGGCTGGCATCCAGCGTAGAGGACCCTCAGTTGGTGTCGTGTGAGCTGCTGGCGTTCCAAGGGTCACTATGTTCCCGAGCACCGCAGACTCTACGCTCACTAGCCACAGTTTCAACTCTCTCAAGCCTGCCGGCCACTACTCACTCCAGTTCACCAGGCACAGCGCCGTCAGTCTCAGAAATAGACAATGTACTCTCTGTCCTGCCAGTCATGGCTACCGCTATTCTCTGTGCTTGGGCTGCACACACCACCATAGTTTCCCCAGAGATGGCAGTCTTAGCTGCAGAACCTCCCGAGGTGGTGGCGCCCACTCTACTCCCCGAATCTGATCCCAAGTCTAGCTCAGAGATGATCCCAGCCCAATGTCTGTTTCCACTCCTGATCTCAGTCTTGTGTCTGCTTCAGCCTCGGAACAAAGCTCAGTGTTCGCTCCAGTCCCTGACCTTAGATTAGTGATGGCTTCAGCTCCTGAACACAGTATAAAGATGACTTTAGTCCCCGAATCTGCCCCAGAGTTCACTCCAGTCCCCAAATCTGCCCCAGAGTTCAGTCCAGTCTCCGAATTTTCCCCAGAGTTCACTCCAGTCCTTGAATCTGCCCCAGAGTTCACTCCAGTCCTTGAATCTGCCCCAGAGTTCACTCCAGTCCTTGAATCTGCCCCAGAGTTCACTCCAGTCCTTGAATCTGCCCCAGAGTTCACTCCAGTCCTTGAATCTGCCCCAGAGTTCACTCCAGTCCTTGAATCTGCCCCAGAGTTCACTCCAGTCCTTGAATCTGCCCCAGAGTTCACTCCAGTCCTTGAATCTGCCCCAGAGTTCACTCCAGTCCTTGAATCTGCCCCAGAGTTCACTCCAGTCCTTGAATCTGCCCCAGAGTTCACTCCAGTCCTTGAATCTGCCCCAGAGTTCACTCCAGTCCTTGAATCTGCCCCAGAGTTCACTCCAGTCCTTGAATCTGCCCCAGAGTTCACTCCAGTCCTTGAATCTGCCCCAGAGTTCACTCCAGTCCTTGAATCTGCCCCAGAGTTCACTCCAGTCCTTGAATCTGCCCCAGAGTTCACTCCAGTCCCAGAATTTGTCCCAGAGTTCACTCCAGTTCTTGAATCTGCCCCAGAGTTCACTCCAGTCCTTGAATCTGTCCCAGAGTTCACTCCAGTCCTTGAATCTGCCCCAGAGTTCACTCCAGTCCTTGAATCTATCCCAGAGTTCACTCCCAGAGTTCACTACAGTCTTTGAATCTGTCCCAGAGTTCACTCCAGTCTTTGAATCTGTCCCAGAGTTCATTCCAGTCCTTGAATCTGCCCCAGAGTTTACTCCAGTCCCCGAATCTGCCCCAGAGTTCACTCCAGTCTCCGAATCTTCCCC